GGCTGTAGTTCCAGGATAAATACAGGAGCTGTTTGCACTCGTGCACATCACAATTTTGGCCTCAAATAAGGGCTGACAAATGGCCTCCCCTCCCTCGGCCCACTCCACTGCTCTTTCTTGGACCAATTGCAGCCCTTGCCGTCCCTGACCATCATCCGTCAGGTCCGTTGACGGAGTCAATCTTTAAAAAAATATTTTGTGCACCGCGAGAGGGGGGAGAATTCTCTATCAACCCCTCGGCGTTAACGCATGGGGCTCCTCAACACTGTGGCAGGGGAGTATGACACAGGCTTTTGATCTCGGCAGATCATGCACTGCACGCACTTAGTTGAGACAAAGATGTACATGTTGCACCAGCTTTTGGACTTAAAGCTATAACTGTGTTATACACTGGCTTCTCTGACCACCACCATCAAGCCCACACCCTGGGTGTGGGCTTGAATAATGAATAATGAATAATGACATGTAAAGCGTCTTTGAGTGTCCAGAAAAGTGCTATATAAAACCGATGCATTATTATTATTATTAAATAAACAGAATCATGATAGCCCAAGTTGATTATAATACGTTTTTTATTTTTTTGGGGCATTCTCGCGGGTTTTGGGCTGGAAAATCTTGCCGGCATTTGACAACTGATGGGAGTCGTGTGCTGAAACGTGTGCTTCGCTGTGAGTGGTTGCGGGAACACGTCATTCAAGATAACAGACAAGAAAGAACTTACAGCCCAAGCAGCCTACAGGCCTTTACTCATTATGTTTGGGGCATTTGTACCAATTCTTAATTTTTCTAAGCTAAAATCACAAAACCATCGTTCAATGTTTTCTAACTGACTAGTTTATTGCATTGAAAAAGTGTTGTTTAATCACAATGATTTTGTGTCTGATTGCAGCTTTATGCAGTTAAAACACCGCTGCTCACCTCCATTTTGAACATATTTTTGTGCTTCATAGTTGAAAATGTGTTTAGAGCTGAATAACAGAGACTTACTCGCATCTAGTCTTTCCATGGGCAGCACGAACAGCTCTGAGAAATGAAGTGTGGTCAGGAATGTTAAGGGCTACCATCAAAGGCCTCCAGCCCAGTCTTCAGATGTGTCTATGTCTCTGTGTGAAAGTAGACCACAGGTGATTGGATCTGATATCATCTTCTCTCATTGGTCCATTCACCCTGTTCCCCCCCAACCGCCAGTGAGAAAAAGCAGTTTTGTCTAAATAATTGAAGATCTTGCATTTGTATTGATCAGGTATAGCCGGGCTGTCCAAACCCTCCACATCTTTGCTGTTTTTTTTTCTTTTCCTAATGTACCCTTATGGCTGCTTTTCTTTCCTTTCGCTTTTATTCCCTTTACCACAACATCAAACAGAGTGAAGGTACACCTCTACCAGGGACTCCAATATCAGAAGGAGAAAAGAGCTTTTTTTATTATGAGTCCTCAAATGGAAAAAGGGCATTGAACGAACAGTGTGATATGCAGTTATGAGCCGTGTAGCTGTGTGAATGTAATAATCCGATTTATTACATTAAAGAACATAGTTTTGCTGATTTATAAAGCTATGTAAATACGAAAGCATGTCAACTACACCGTGAATGGCTTTGTTCATTGGAAAATGCTATAGCTCAGGCAAACATGCGTATGCTAAATATGAACATAGTAATAGGTTGTTTGAATGAAAAGACGCTTTCCCCCCTCTCTGGGTTACATGATGTTAGGGGCGCTCAGAGCAACACACATTGAATATGATAATACTTCTGTTGCCAAGCAAAATATCCACGTTTCTCACAATGCTTCCTCCCTGACATGCCATACAATCACACTGAATTTTCTGGAGCTTGGAGCTGTCTAGGCAGCTGGCAAAACTGCAAATAGATCAGAAGCCAGGCTGTTTATAAGGCTGAATTATTTTATTACAGTCATTACACAGGCAGTAACATCTGTATACAGGAAATAGATCCATCGATGTAAATACTGTAGTCAATGATCATGATGTTTTTATCATGACATAGTTTGGGTCAATATTGAACATTTAAGTTTATAAATATATAAAGGTGTCATAGATCACTGGTTCCCAAAGTGGGGTTCGGGACCTGCAAGGGGGCAGTGGGATGCTCACTGGGGGTCATGAGATGATTTTCAGAATAACTATCTTTTTGGTACAAATATTATTTTTTATGTGATATTAGATTTAATAGATCAATAAATTAACTGAAATAAACAAAATTAACATTAATTCAACATTTGTATTATATTAAATTGTATAGATTTGCAGGGGGTTTGCAGGTTAGATTCATGTTAATACGGTTATCCCAGCCTAAAAATCTTTGAGAACCCCTGTCATAGACAGAATTATTGTGTATGTGTATGGAGTGAAAGAATAATGTAAAGCGTCTTTGAGTGTCCTGAAAAGCGCTATATAAAACCAATGCATTATTAATTTCTCCAATTGAAATTGAGTTCATGGTCACAGCCTTCACCACACACATGTATTCACACCGTCTAGTGTCCATGAGCGAAGACCATAGTGTCTAGCCTTCTTATGTGAACAATATCTGAACTGTACTAGGTCGGACTCCTTTTTGTATGGAACTTAGTTGCAAATCGGTGAATGATAAAGTTGGATTTATCATTCACCATTGGATAAGGGGTCGGACTACATGTTTATTGAACTTCATCCTCTTCCTTTCAACCACTTTTTATGTACTATTAATACCATAACCTATATTCGTCCCACAGTGAGTTACTTTTTAAAATAAAATGTTAACTGTCATGTTGCTCAATAAGAAATCAATCAATTGCTCAAAAAACTTAAAAAAAATAAAATAATGAAACACCTTTTTTTCCCCCAGGTCCTTCCATATATCATCAGTCTTCATTTTTTGTGTCTATCTTGGACTCTGAGTCCATAATATAAGCTCCATTCATTCATTAATGAATTTGTTAATTCATCTAAGTGACCACAGGTTGCCAGCCCCAATGAAAAATACTATCTAACCATCCATACTGTAAGTGTTAACTTAATAGAATTATACTTCTCTATCTAATTGACATTCAAGAGTTTTGACTGTGGATACTCTGGTAATGATTCAGAGGTTCATTAAATTCATATCTGGGGCTTGGATATGGGAGAGGAGACAGGAATGACTGGAAGATGTTTTAACAGTGCAAGACATTGTTGTTTTTAAACTGAAAATGTGTGAATGCAGACAGAGAGACTGGAGCCACACGGCGTCTTGCCCACATCGTAACATGCAAAACCCCAAATGGGACGCCCACTGACAAGTCGCTATTCTTACTATAAACACAAGACAGCCTGCCCATTCTGTATCCCATGAAAGTGGGAGATTCCTCTGTCAGGAAATAACTATCTGCTCCTCTCCCCTCTGCTGAGCCTTTTATTCCTTGGAGTACACAAGTGTATTTTGGGGGGGGAGGACTGCCTTTGAGCGCTAGACAGTTCCTCTTTTCTGATCTGTCTGGCTGGAAATGGTCCAAAAGTGGATCCATGTTTTCCCCCAGTGATGCTCAAGGCGTTGTAGTCCTGTCATTCAAGGGCTTTTGTTTACATGCTGGATCAATAGTTTGAACACGCCTCCGGATATATTGTACAGTTGTAGGTTTTCACACGGCGATAATAGACCCAGAGCTGAAGATGAAGACAGTTTAAGTGACTCTATCAGGGAGGAGACACGTATAGCCCATAAGTTTCTTTTTAATAATTTCAGGCGAGTAGAGTCAGACTATAAGATTATTATCTTTAGATTGTGGGTGTTACTTGATGACAGCCCAACCCTCTTCAGTGCATATAATAGCTTTGTGTTTTATCAGCATTCTTCTCAGTGATGGCCATTTGTGTGTATCCACCATAGACTGTATAATATAATAGACAAAGTATAGTCTATTCTCCATATACAAATGTATAGACTCCTCCCACAAGAAACTGAATTTAAATAATAAATAATAATTTAAAGTGTTTTCAGCTTCCCCACTGACGCACTAAGCAGCACAAATCGTGCAGTGATGACACACGGCTGGAAGTACTGTTGTGATGCCCGTCATGTGACCGTGCAGGATCCGCTCTGGAACGAAATGACTGCCGTTTCTGCGAACTTCCACTGCAACTAAACGGCTGTGATTTAGAAAAAAAGGTTTCATGGTGTGTTTCCGCTTCCGTAGTCAGAACTACAGGCCTCTTTGTCAGACTGCAAAGATGGTCTTTAGATGGCAACCCGCTTCGTTATACTGTAGCTGGTATTGGACAGACAACTGCTTCCACTGATATCAACTCATTAATCACTGACACTGTCACTAATATATATATATATATATATTATAAAAAAAAAAAATTCAGTGCATCTCAATGAACAGACACATTAAAAACATGATTGTAAACATGCCAGATTATAGCCAAAGTCTAATTTCCATCTGTAGTCCCATAGGGTCAGGGTCACATGGGTCAAATACAGCAACATCAACAGCAAATATCATTTACTTACAGTATTTAAAACATTTACAACTAATTGAATAAAAATGCACATATGACACTTGTCATGACCAAAGACACTTTATACTTTACTGTAGATTTTAGACTGAATGAACAAGACAGGACGAAACAAAGCAACATGGAGTTAACAGATGGGTTATGAGTGATTGCAGATGGTGAGTGTGGAAGAGTCTGGTGAAATTGGGCAGAGAGTTATTTAGAATGACTTAATTATAAGTAAACATTAACATTTTTAGGTTTTATAAATATTCTTACAACATATATTTTCATCCACTCTTCCATAACATTAATTTATATATTTTTCTGTCAGCACAATTATGTGTGATACAATTTGAAATATAATTTTATTCCAATCAAAAACCTCTTTTCAGTCTAATTTAATTTCACAATTTCTCTGGATTAGTATCGCAGCACTCTCCTATTCTTTAGATGTTGTTCATATTACAATTCCAAATTCCATTTGCAGGTCAGAAAAAAACCTTTTTTGTCTCTGTTTTTCAGTCACCATCTCCACCAGCGTGTCCTTCGACGGCCTTCTGGTGACTGGCTTGTACACGTCCACTCCAGTCCAGTCTGCTCCCATCCCCGCTCCGGCTGCCTTTGGCTTCGGTAAGTCCAGAAGTCCACCCACCCCCACACACAGACTGCTTACAGGGCCTCCACATCCACACCACTTCAGCCAATATCAACTCCTCATTAAAACCTGAACTTCGCTTCTCCTCAGAACACAAACAAGCCGTTAAATACCGTAAACAGTATCTTCGCACTTAGCACAGCCAACGTGACCTCTGCGCAGCGATCCACATCCGTTCCCAGAGAGGGTCAGGGAGCATTTCCTCAGCCCCGTCGTGACAGGACATGATGGATGATGAGGGGGACGATGTGGTTTTAGGTTTGGTCATTGAATTATTATTGATGTTGGAATGAAAAGAAATGAATGTCTAATCGAGAACAAAGACCGGAGATTCTAACAAAGAGAAGTTGTTTCATTTCTGGCAATGGGTCAACTGTTCGATGTGTATTCCCTGAACAAGTTTCGGTTCATTTTATATCAATAGTGAGAAAGGCACATTACATCTTTTTCTCGTTACAAGCTGAATTTCATCTTCCTGTTGGTCTTGATACTTTGCTCAAGCTTCTCCTGACTGTATTTTGAACACAATGTTGATAATGGTTGTACAATCACATATGAGTAAACTAAGGCTGGCTACTGAGGATTTTTAGCTCGATTTTATCCATCCATGAGTTTAGGGAGGCGCGGCCCGAGTAACTATTCTCATTTTAAAATGTCTTAACAATTGTTATGTATGTGGGGTCAATGAATTCTGTCAGATTGCAGAGACAAAACCTCTGGCACATCCGCACTTCCATAATGACGGATGTAAAACTGTAGGGCAATGACAAAAAGGCATTATATCTACAATATGTAGATTTATTAACAAGAAGATCAGAAAGGACAGAACCATATTGAATGAATGAATGTCGTTATTAGTCCCACAGTGGGGAAATTACAGTATTAACATATTCACATAAGACACAGCCCTACAGACCCGTTCAAACACCTGTTAAACCAGGATTTAATTTCCAATGTCTGTGTGCTGTGTTTCGATGCATCAAACTGCTACAAAACAAAAAAATAACTAACTAATAACCAGCACAACGTTGAAATAGAAAATTATCTGGGAATATAAGCAAAGTACTGTGCACAAAAAACTGCAAACTACTGGTAAAACCACAGACTCGCTGCAAATCTACCACAGCAAACAAATGTTCAAGCAGTCCACTCAGACACTCAGTTGATGCAGCCCCTCGCTACGTCCTCACGCCTCAAAAATGAGGAAAAGAATGTTATATCCAGACAGAGTGTGGTTCATACAGTGTCCTGAAGTCCAGAGCGTGCTGCCTCAAAGTTCACTCGCAGTATTTTTGTGTCTGAATTAAACAGTGACAGTGACATATTTGTTCTACTGTAAACACTGCTGATAAATTACCTAATTTACAGGTGTAAAATTGCGCAGTTCATAGGCTGCACCCAAATCCATTTTATTCCTCCTTCCTTATCCTTCCTTATCCTATATAATCAATGTTTTAAGTAAAACCTTTAGGTATGTGTTGATGCTAAATGAAATATTTATTATCTAATGTATTTCCAAACGTAAGAGAAAAGGGAAGGGAGGTAGGAGGTGTATTTGTTGAATTTGGAAGCAGCCATCTCCTGTGGTGAGACAGAACATTGTTTCAGATTATCCTTATGTCTGTGGTCGGTGTCTCGAGACAAAAACCTCTGTCGTCTCTTGCCAGCATAAGAGCATTCACATTTGTTGGTCTGGTTCACTTTAACTGGAAGTCTGGCTCCCATGGACAAAAACGCAACACAAATCTGTATCAAAAGATGTAAACTGACCAGTGGATTCATGTTTGTACCTAACCACAATTGTTTGGTGGTTTTACATCAACAAATAAAGCCTTTTGAACAGATGAATACTAAATAATGCTTTTTCAATCGTCATTTTGTATTGAGTTTTAAACAGTATTTTGATTATAAATTATGAATGTTAAAGTTGTAGCAAATCAAGATTATATTGAGAGATAATTACCCCCCCTAGTCTCACACATTTCTTGTTCTAGGGGGACAAAGCCAACTCCCCACAGTTGCTTTATTCCACTTTTTAAAATTGATATCTGACGAACTGGAATGGCATCTTCTTGGAAGAGTGTTATCAGAAGAAGGGCAAAGCTGTTCCTTATTGGTGTCTCGGAGGAGGGAGCTGGTGCAGACTGAGACCACTGTTCATCACTTTAACTGCCTCCACGCCAGCTCACACGGCTCAAGTGTCTTGGCACATGCATTTTGCTGCGGGGGCATCCAAGTTGAAATTGCATCACCTTTGCTTCACTCTCATTAATTTTAAGAGTTTTGAGGGACCACTGTTGGGTGTGATAGGTGCAGTGAGTGGAACTGTGGATTTGCTTCTGGTGTTTTTAACAAGATACTGTCTATGGAGCGAAGTAGCTGCCCCCACCTCCAGGTCTCGGAACTATGTGTATTTCTCTCATCGGGATTTGTGGGGGGGGGAAATATAGATATATGAGATGAGTAATCACCACAAGACTTATATTTAAAGTATATGTAGCTTTTTCGGCTGGAAACAACAGCACTGTGTATATCAGCAGTAATCAGGATAGCTAATAAATGGTTTAAGTAGGCGGGGTGGATGGATTATGTTATTCCATGTCAAAGGGGGGCCCAGAAAAAACAAGTTTGAGAAGCATTGTGTTATTGTGATTTTCATTCAAACTGACAGAGATCAAGAGGCAACACATTCTCAATAATCAGTGACCTATGGATCATTGGATAACACAGGCTGTCAGTTAGAACAACAAAAATACCTGTAAATTAAGAACATTGGACGTGTACTCGTGGTGGTGCAAAATAGAATAAGAGGGAGTGATAGTCTTTAGTATTGTAAATTACTCAAACATGCATGAATCACTCTTAAAAACCCATTGTGTCTGGGTGAAATTTGTGAAATAATACGTATCACATGACTGATAGCAATTTGGCATAAGAGGTAATGATTAATTGATATCTTATTACATTCGCCCTGTGCTATGTTGCTTCTGTATATTCTCACTGTCTGAATAACCTTTGACAATGCATAAACATTAAATTGAGGAGATAAGCCATGTTAGAAAAGGTTTCAATGAGGTTAAACAGGGATTCTTGCAGAGTGCTCCATCTGGCAGCCCATGTAAACACGGCACATTGTAACACAGTGACTAATATGTAAAGTAGATATTCAGGACATAATGCAGAGCAGCAACAAGCCTGATCATAGCTCTGACAATCATAAGAGAAGAGTGAAGAATAATGTTTGGGGAAATTTAGCTAAATAACCTCAATCAAAAATACAGCTTACAGAAAACAGATGTGCAAACTGTTCTTCGAAGCATGTGCCTGACAGATGCAACTGTGCAGGAATAAAACCACTGCTACCACAGACCACACACAATCATCTCGACCATCGGATATGTTACACCTGATTTTTGAAAGTTATAAAATCAATTTTGAATCTGTTTGATCCTAAAATTGATATTGCTAACTTAATGTTGTCTGGTATAGAAGAACCACATTTTTATATTTCTACTAAGAATACAAGATGCTTCCTAACCTATACAATTTATACATTTTAAGTATGGAACTGTTCAATCCTAATGGGGAAAAATACATCTCAAGAGATCATGTATGCACAATCTTGTGGAAACTTAATCTCACAAGATATCAGAAGAAATTGTCCAATCCTTAGTGAATCATATTTTGAAAACACAGTGCTTGCAATTTTGGCAATTCTTCCCACCTCCCACATTCTCCCATGATGTGTGAATTAAAAGTAAACAATAATTAGCTGATTCCACATTATACAATGTAATTCTGGGCAGTGCAGTGGAATCTGTTGAAAGGAGGCAAATGAGCAGAGGAGAGAAGTGCTTATGTGGTTGAGTTTTGTGGTTGTTGTGGTGAAGCGTGCTGCACTCAGACCTCCCTGTGGCTGTCACCCCAGTGTGGAGAGCTCATAAAACCAGTGCTCCGCCTGCAGCATTCATATGTGTTCAAACATATTTTCCCCATTTATTTCTGCTTCTAATTTACCTCTTTGTCTGCCAGTGACAGGATCTCCTTCAGACACTAGTGACAAGACACAAATAAACTTTTACTGGCTCCCACTCCCTCATATAATTTTCAATAAATGTAACATACTTAAAGAGGGGATTTATTTTTTAAACTGTCAGAATGTGGTTCCAACAATAAATGACACTGAAACAATACAGACAGAAGTAAATTTTCATTGAATGCTTTGACTTGTGTTGTCTTGTCTCGAGAATATCTATTTAAAGGCTTACCACAGCATTGCATTGTCTTTACTGTGGCGGTTCATCAGACAAACAAGAGCAAAAACACTGTTATTTTAGTAAAGAGGAGAAGGACGAAAGCGTGGTGTCAGGTACCACAAGTATGTTGACGACGTGCCTCAGAGCTGAATCATTTCAATCCGATTGGAAAACATGTTGACCGAAGGTAGCTCCTTTTTGCATAATGTGTTTAAATAAGACATTACAAGTTGTGGGGTTGAAGCCCAATGCTCATTTGACTCAATAATCTAACTCTAACTAACTCTCTAGAGAAGCAATGACTTGGCTATGTTAGCGTCCAGCTGTGGAAAGAGGCTTATCTAATGTAAGCATGTAAAAATAATGCATTTATGTTTGCAATTATAAAAAGTAAGTGACAAAACATGTCTGTGGATCCGTTTGGGAATGCTGCATTGTTCTAGCTGTGAGTACAAAGTAGTCATTGATAAATGGCTCGTTTGGTATGTGGTGTTTATTTTGCCATTCATTTGCATAATTTGTATGTATTTACATGGTGTTTGGTGCCAATGGCTAACCCAATGTGATAGATCTGGCTGTCTGACAAAAGAGACAGCTTAGTGACAGGGACATCTCGTAGGCATGTGTCCCAATGACGGATGGGTTCCTGGTAGCACGCGACGATTAAAGATGAGACCTGCTCAGCTGACCTCTGGGGGAGGGGCTAGAGGAGGCGTGGA